ATTGAACCTGAAGAGGGATTTTTTTGAAACTTTCCTTACTTTTGAAACAAACCGTGCTCTTTCCAGCTGGGAACTCCCCATTTTGCGAGCAGGTCTCGTTTAGGAGAAAATGCGGCTTTTTGACTTTGAAAAATTTCACAAAATCCCCGCAATTGAGAGGGTTTTCTTCGAAACGTTCCCCATTTATGAAACGAAAAAGTTCCCAAAAAAAGCTTCGTGCTGCTTTAAGCTTGAAAAAGTACTTGCAAAGATGCCAAGTGCAGCTAGAAGTTCTGGTAAGTCAAAGTAAGAAAATGGAAAAACCACTCCATTTTAATAAAAATTAAAAATAATCCAAGATAATCAGTTCTATCAGCTTGTAGAAAATAGTGTTTGTAACATTCGTCGATGTGAAGACTGTAGGGTTTGTTAAGAAACTGATTTTCTTGCTTTATTTTCTACTGAAAAACGCTCTATTTTGAAGACTTTCACCTAAAAATACCAACACAATCTTGAAGTCTTTTGCGCGAAAATTTACAAGACAAATTTAGAGTTTTGCAGGAATGTTACAAAGACTTTTTGATGATGCTCTGATGCTTTACTTCTTCCTTCCTTTCTGACAATCATCGGGTCTTTTCAGCCAAAAATAAAAATAATAATTTTTTTTTAATTCGCCTCATTCATCGCTTTCCAAGGAATGTCAGAAAACCCTTTTCAGCTTCGAATTTGTCACAAAAACCAGATAACTTTATTTAGTTTTTTTACTGAAAGTAATTAAGATTATCTTGATAAAACGACCCGAGAGCAAAAGTTTGCTAAAAAAAGCTTCTTTAAAATTTCAGGTCTCCAGCTTTAGAGAACTATTGTATTGTAAAGCTATTCTTTGTAGGCAAAAAAAGCATAATTTTTTAGTTTTACTTAAACTCTTACTAAAAATACTGACAATTTTCAGGGATTTTCTGTGAAAGATTATAAAACCAATTATATTTGAACACTCGCCTACTTAACAGTTGTGTAAAATTTTTTACAACTTTTTGCAGCTTTGATTTTTGGCCAAAACACACATAATTTTCTCAGGATTTTTCTTCAAAAATATTTCCCCGAAGAAAGTTTATAACCAATTATATATACTTTGTGAAAAATTAGGTTTTTTTAAACCGGTTCCTTCACTTTTAGGTCAATATTTCTAAACAACAGTTGTTTCTTAACGTTTTACTGTTAAATACTAGCAAAGTGAGTGTCTCTGATGCAACAAAACTAAGACATCGATTTTACAAGATAACTCGTCGTCTTTTTAGTTTGGTCTTCTTAGTCGCCTTTTTCGAATACCCGTTTTACCTTTGAATTTGGGACAAAATCGAAACAAAGTTCTCTTGTTTTCCGAAAAAATTATAAGAGAAAGCAAAAGCATATAATCCACTATTTAGAAAACTCGTCACCCTCATCGCTCTGTAGAATTTTTGAGTTTCTTCAAAATTTCCGATTTTTTCCGTTGAGACCAAGTATTTCCAAGCAATCGTTTCTACAGAAAGGGTAACTAAGATAATTTTTAGGAGTTAGCGCAGTGCTGTGCAAATGACTTGGTGCACCAACCCAACGCACTGGCGCGATAACTCCGTTGCTGGTAAAATGTTAAATGAGTTATAATTCATTAACCGTTGAGTTAACACTCATTAACTCGGAGAGCGATCACAACTCAAAACTCAACACAGTGTTACTCAGGCCTATTGGGCTGTGATTAGAAAGAATTTAAATCTCAGTTCCCATTTCAATTATCATTTGATCAATTCTGGTCTACGCTTAACCTTCCATTTCCATCATGAGATCATACCTGAGTCATAAAAGCACAAATTTCGAAAATAATTTTGCGGCTTTAGCTACCTAAGATTTTTAATCACATTCTGCCAATCCTCCACACACCACCAATTAGTGGTGGATGCTCGAGGGTTCTAAGGCGCATTCACCTTTCTGTATGTCTTGCAATCCTTCTGAAGACACTCTTTCTACTGGAGATGCCGTCCAGTAGATACCGTGGCGATTATTCAGCTAAAGGTGCTGGACAGGCCGGAAAATAAGCCAGAGAATCCTCCAAAAGGTGAACATTTCGGGGGTGAAGCGGCCATTTCCAATAGAGCTGTCCGGTCAATCCCAATAGGAGAATCGATGTTTACGCTTAAAAAATCAGCGAATGTTAGTTTAATAAAAGTGAGTGCAAAAATAAATTCTTTGCACTCACTAAGTTTAGGTACGCACAGGCAACAACAACAAATGAAAATCTCATAAGCATTTCTACCCAAAATTGCTTCATCTGGCTCTGATCTCGCAACTTGGGTAACGCGTAAACGTGGAAAGTAATGCCGATGGGCACGAAGTTGTCGGCGCCTATGGAAAATGCAAGGGTGGATCCAGGGGGGGGGGCCCAATCAATTCTCTATCCAACGATGCCAAAACGAATTCTGTGGCTCGAATGGTTCTTGAGAAACTTCGAAAAAAGCAGCGTCATGTTCAAGTGGATTTTGCAACTCAAAAAAAAACCACGCAAATCTAAAACTTCTTGAATTCAAGCCTTTTTTGAGAAAACTGCCAACATTTCCCCATCCATGGTTCACTTTCTATAAAGGCCATTTATTTCTCTCTAGAATGATGTACAAATGAGCGTTCTTGCTCATTTTGCCTCCGAGATATGAGCAAAAACGGGGCGGAAAACATGAAATTTTGGCATAATCGTGCACCTAAGTGTCTGATATTCAAATTTCGCTTTCTGGGTCAAAATTACTCGAACTGCCTCACTCACCTTGCTACGACTAAAAAACGACAAAATGAATTCGGTGGCTCAAATGGGGCTTGAGAAACTTCGAAAAACGCAGCGTCATGTTTGAGACGATTTTGCAACCCAAAAAAAGTCACGCAAGTCTAAAACTGCTTGCACTCATGACTTTTTTGAGAAAACTGCCAATACTTCCTTATTGATGGTTCACTTTCTAAAAAGTCCATTTAGTTCTCTCTGRAATGATGTAAAAACGAGCGCTCTTGCTTATTTCGATTCCGAGAAATGAGCAAAAATGGGACGAAAAACATGGAATTTTGGCATAATCGTGCACCTAAGTGTCTGATATTCAAATTTCGCTTTCTCGGTCAAAACTACTCGAATTTCCTCACTCATGTTGTTATGACTGAATCGTATTTTCAATTCTCTATCCAACGATGCCAAAACGAATTCTGTGGCTCGAATGGTTCTTGAGAAACTTCGAATAAAGGCCATTTAGTTATCCCTGGAATGATGTAAAACGAGCGTTCTTGCTCATTTTGCTTCCGACGATCATTTTTCTAATTTCATAACCAACAGAACTGTATTTTTTTACCCCCCCCCCTGACTTTAAAGCTGGATCCGCCCCTGGGAAAATGCCAACGTTTTCAAATTACGAACACACGTAATGAGGCAGGACAGGAAAAAACGTGTTTATTTCAAGCACAGACAGCAGTTTAAAAAGCTGCAGTGTCCATTTTTCTTTGCACGTAAACTAATCAGGGTGGCTAAAAGATTGGATTTTGCGGCGATCGCAAAGTGCTTGGGGAAAATAAATGAAGCAACCAGGCGGTTTTATTTGAAATGGAAGCTCCAAATGTTCTGTTTTAATTATTCACAATAAATACATTCTATCGTTCTGAGCTTAAGCTAGCATGATTACTATTCAGCGCAGTGCGGCCTTAATCCGAAGTGAGTGCTACAAAAATATAGTGCTTTCTTAATCCTAAATGGAGTATGTATAGATGCTGATTGGACAAAGTGTAAACTTAGAATTCGAGTCCTATTTGCCCAATTTTGAATTTCGCAATTCACCAGGCTTGAACTACCGTGATTTATTAGGATTCCTTGAAAACTCTTCTAGTCTAGTCCTACAAGTATGCTTAACAATCTAGTATAAAATCGCTTGAAACGTCGAATAAGTGACCAAATTAAAACCTTGTCTCGGGTGAAGCTGCAATGCCCCTTGAAAAGCAACCCAACAACAATAATGATTGGAGTATTTGTACATTTTATCACCACCTTGCGACTTTTTCCTCTCGCAAGCACGAGCTTGAGCCAAAGCCAGGTGATCTCAACTAATAAAACGGCACCGTATCTACTTAGTAGTCGCCGGACGCCAGTTTCCCTGCTATCGCATAAATAGCGCTGTAGCTGCCTGCTGATAGACCAATAACACCAATGCCGATCAGCAAGATGTCTTTCCAGAACAGCAACGTTTTTGGGTGCGACTTTTCCGGCCAGTTGGCGCACATTTCGATTATTGCTGGAAAGGCGATGCCCAGGGCCGACAGGCAAAAGGAACCAACCAGAGAGATGAAGAGTCCGAGAAGAGGCACAGTCATGGCCAAGACAACTGCAAACAACCAGTAGAAACAAACCCGATAAGTTGCCAATAACTTACAAGTAACAATCACGCAGACGATCCTCAGCAAGTACTCGTAGAAGGACTTCTTCTTGGCATTGGCGTCTTCCAGATGTTTGGCAATGTAGTTGGTCCACATGATCTGGACGGGAACGTAGCCTTGCAGTCCGTAAGAGATGTAGATGGCCAACGAGTAGGAGAGAATAATCACCTGAGCCAGACTGAAAACGGAAAAGTTGTTGCTGGGCAAACCGAGTGGAGCAAATTGAAATATTCACATTTCCGCTATGGGGAAGTTCATGGTGATGCTGGACTTAATGCCGTCCCCATACTGCCAGTAGCCCATCATCCCCATTCCCACGTAGATCACAGTGACCAGGATCATCCCAATGTTCAGCACCCCCATTGGCTGCCTGAAGCTCTTCGGAGTAGCCATGTTATTTTCCAAAGCGATCACCTAAAGCACCAAGAGGCTTAATTATATTTAGGAATGTTTTTCGGGCTTTGAAGCCGTGGCCTATCGGAATTTCTTCCTGACGTTTCGTCCACAACTGCGGCGGACATTTTCAAAGGCGATGAGGCAGTGGGCGAAGTGAACTCCCGTGCTTTCCGACTAAGACTGGTTCAATTACGGGATCCCCTGCATAAATACGAAAGGGGATCGCGTAGTTGAACCAGTCTTAGTGGGAAAGCACGGGAGATCACTTTGCCCACTGCCTCATCGCCTTTGAAAATGTCCACCGCAGTTGTGGACGAAACGTCAGGCAGAAATTCTGATAGACCACGGCTTCAAAGCCCGGAAAGTATTCCTAAATGTAATTTAACCGGCCGTGAAAGCCTTCATAGTCTGATAAGAGGCTTAATCTTGCAATACATCAATTTCTAGGCAACATACCACGCCAACAGCCTGCAGAGAAAACAGCGTCGTTCCAAAGTACAGAGGATAATCGCTCAAGCTGCCCACAGCCGGCCGATCGCTGAAGTCTTCCAGATTTTGGAAAATGTAGTAGCACACAACCCCAAACGTGATCAGCGTAATAACATTGGCCAGAATGGAGAAGGGAGCGAGCAACTTGAGGTTCTTGATGCAGATGATGAGCACGAACGGAACGAACACGATCAGCATGTACACGATCAGACTGTACTTTGTGCTTGTGTACTCATCGAACACGTACTTCAAGTTTTGACCTACGAAGACTACGTAGACGCAACAGATGCCCATTTGGTAGAAAATGAGGAAGAAGTTGGTCAGTGCTCTGGAAAATTTGGTGTCAACTACAGGCTCGAGAAGCGAATGATTTTCCAGTGCAACTCACGGTGCGTACGGTGCGAAGCCTCGGAGACACGTTGGACCAATATCGCAGGCGATTTTCATGGAATCTGGATAAGTCAGAAGAGCCACTCTCAGCTTTTTGCACATCACGTACTGGGCCTTCACCTGCAACGGAGCGCAAGAGTTGAAAAGTTCAACGACTCAATGCCTCAACTTACCAGCACATGCAGACAGTAAGTGCACAGGGCGCCGATCAAAAATGTTGAAATAATGCCGTTGATCATACCGGACAGCTTGAAAGCTTCCGGCATGGCCAGAATGCCAGTTCCAAGGCATCCTTTCAGCAAGTGGATCAGGGTTTCTGCGTTTCTGGAAACCACTGCTAGCCTAAATAGGCACTTTGATCATTTCCTACTTACGTGGTGGGGCTCTCGACCTCGCGATGGAGATGAGGATCGTAGTCATCCACAACACCATTTTCCGTCTTGTTGGGGTCCCTAAACAAACGGATCATCCATTACAACCAACAGCAGCCCAAAATAAACATTTGGAAAAGCGCCGGTTCCTTACCAACACTTTTCCTGCCTTTTTAAATACAAATTCGGAATCACCAAACGTTCCATCTTTAGGACGATGGCGACTCCAACAGCGTTTAAACACAATTCATTTTCACAGTGCGTGTGGAGCTTCGCGAATATTTATTGCATTTTTTGTGTGTTTGTGTTAAAGCGTTCTTGCGGAAATGCTTTGAAGCAGCGATTTTGCCAATTGCCAGGAAGACTTTGGCTGAAGCCGAAGGAATGAGGAATGAGCGAAAGCAAGATAATAATGGTGAGGGTGAGTTTGCTAGTTTCCCATCACCAACGTGTACAAGAAATTGTTTTTACCGTTTATCCAACAGTTCGGACGCCTCCGTTGGCTGCCTGAAAGGGCATATGGAATTATCTAAGGGATTGAAGGTTTAATTCGAGCTAAACAGGCAAAATCACCTACTTGTTGGCCCCAATGGCTTCCAGTTTTATACTCTCCTGCGTCATTTCGTTGTCTATTCTATTTCCTTGAGGTTTCGTTGATTTGAACCTCCACTATTGCATTTCCTCTTCAAGGGGTAGCTGAGAAAGAAAAACTATTCTTAGGCTGACGGTATGTGATGTTAAAGTTGTATGAGTATGTTAAAATATTATGGATTGGCAATTCTTTTCTGGTCTTTTAGGATGCTTATGTGGATGGCCTGGTAAGGAAAGGAAGAGAAGCAAATGAGTGCGATGGGTTTTGAGTTTTTGTTTCAAAAACAGCGACTTCCTAGAAGTTGCTTTTTGTAAATTGAACAGATTGGGAAAACTATTCAGAGGGTCTTTGCATAACTCCTTCGAAAAAAATTTCTACTTGATAAACTGCGCCAAATAGAGCCTTGTAATGTTGAGGTTTTCCCGAAAAATTTGCGCGCTAAACTGAGAGAAACTGCATCATTTGGACGGCAGCTTTAGGAGCTTTTTAGAAACTTTAAAAGTCGATTTAGACTTTTTTCAGTTTGATATTTTTGCCAGCTACATGCTCTAACCATCGCAAGTAGCATTTTTCAAAAATAAATACGCTTCCTCATTTTGAGCTAAAGGAGTCCAAGCGTGGAGGAGATTTTCCAATAAAAACAGAGCAGAAATTACTTGGTCTATTCGATGAAAATTCGTGTTGATCTAGCAGGAAAGCGCACTTACTTGGCTTGGGATCGCGTTTCGAACGAAAAATGCTCCTGCCTGCATCCAACTGACCTGATACGCTCTAGCAGCAAACAACAACTGGATCCAATTATAGACGACAATCCGAGAATGTGGCCCCACAAACTTTCTCCGGTCCAGACTAGGAAATCGCAATTTCAACAATAAAATTAACTTCGTTTAACTGAACTGTTTGCAAGAGGAAGTTGAAACGCGCCTGTTAGATCCCGTCTGGTTGCAAGCCGACTTCGGACCCGTCCTTAGAACACTGACCAATTTGGAGGATGTAGGGGAGGTCAGTGTGGCATAAGACTGATGGTAACTACTAAATCGCAATTCAGAGGAAAATGGAGCAGGTGAAACGGCCCAACAAGCCGATGCTAAAAAGTGCGGCTTTTGAAAAAAATCGTAAAAATGTACCCAACTGATGAACACTTACATGTACTTTTACGGGCTCACAGGCACAACACCTAGAATGCTGATTTTGCTTCAGTCTAGTTGACAATTATTTAATTATTGCGTTTGCAAAAAAACGAAAATTATTCTATGTTAAGATATTATTTTATTTGTTTGCTGCATGTAATAAAGTTTTTAAATTCTGTTATAAAGTTAAACAATTTTAAGGGACTGTTTACATTTGGCGCAGTCGGCAGCACTTTTCAGTGATTTTTATTCTAGAAGCCGTAAATCGACCAAGACTGTTCAGTAAAACTCCGAACCACTCTTGGAGCATCTGGCAGAATCGGGAAAGACGCAGAATATTGCAGGAAACAATTAATTCTACCTGAAATCAGAATTGCAAATGCAAGAAGAAATCATTGCCATTCTCGTTGAATCTGTCCAAATGTGGATTGAATCATCAATGAGAAGAAAACCTTCAAGAACGAAATTGGACTAAGAACAAGACAGTTTTATTGGTTTTTGGCATTAGTTCTAGTCAGCTTATAAATTACATGTTGTTCCAATTTGCATGATATTCCTCTAGCAAATCTAATCAAGTGCTTATTATAATCTTGCAGATTAGCGCATTCCAAATCGGTTGGTATTACTTTGCTTTGGAATTGATGGCGCAAAATGTGTAATTTGCGACAATTGCAGTACTTCAACGGCACACGTTTCCGTCAATAATCACGCTAAAGGGGAAAAAACCGTTGGTTGCATATTTTTAGAGGACTTAATGCATATCCAGGCTCATGTGATTTGGCAGCAGGCACGCCTTATGTAATGCAACTGTGCAGCTGGAAAGTTTTTAAATGTCTACTGATGCACTTTGGTTTTTCAATTTTGGCACCGAAACCGAATTGCGATTTGTGGGAGGAGGTGGATAACCCAAACTGTGTTTTCTCTTTGGACTTAAATACTTCGACACTGTTCCAACAGCCATTTCTAATCAACATTTTTTTTTGTTTTTCTATATTGAAGCCCGTACTTTGAGTTTACGGGTTACCCAATTTGTTTTCGATCTTAACCTGCGCTTTGGACTTTGAAGTCGCCTCTTCTCAGCCAATCGAGTGTTTGTAGATAAACAAGCAATGTACCAACTGCTACTAGTTGAGAGTGTGTTTAAAATTTCATTAAGAAACGCTCCTCGTAGCAAACACAATTGAGCCAGAAAAATAGCCCAATAGCAACGATGCCAAAACGAATTCTGTGGCTCCAATGGTTCTTGAGAAACTTCGGAAAAAGCAACGTCAGGTTCAAGTGGATTTTGCAACTCAAAAAAAACCACGCAAATCTAAAACTTCTCGAATTCAAGCATTTTTTGAGAAAACTGCCAACATTTCCCTATCCATGGTTCACTTTCTAAAAAGGTCATTTATTTCTCTCTAGAATGATGTATAAATGAGCGCTCTTGCTCATTTTGCCTCCGAGAAATGAGCAAAAATGGGACGGAAAACATGGAATTTTGACATAATCTTGCACCTAAGTGTCTGATATTCAAATTTCAATTTCTTGGTCAAAACTACTCGAATTTCCCCACTCACGTTGTTACGACTGAAGCGACTTTTCAATTCTCTATCCAACGATGCCAAAACGAATTTTGTGGCTCCAATGGTTCTTGAGAAACTTCGAAAAAAGCAGCGTCATGTTCAAGTGGATTTTGCAACTCAAAAAAAACAAATCTTACGCCACCCTTGCACAAAACGACGATAATTTTTCTAATTTCATAGACAACAAAAGACTGATATTTTTTCTACATAACCCCCCCCCCTCTGAATTTAAAGCTGAATCCGCCCCTGCTGGAAATCATCCTAATCAGGACCAATCAAAATCTTCAAATAGTTAGACCAATTCGTTTTTTCCAGTTCTTCGCGCATGGATGATATTTGCGTTAATCAACGGCGCTAACGGATAAAATTAAGAGCAAAATTGCAAGATCATCTTCAAAGAACTGAGTGGGTTTCTTTAAAAGTGGTGTGGGGGAAAAATAGCGAGTGATTAAAATGAATAGAATTTACTATAAACTACATTTTTTTAAACTTGTTCAATTCAACTTTTCCCAAAATAATCTGCAAACATTTTCATGTTTTCATTGTTCTTCAGGAGTCCATTAACAGAAATACTCTTATATTGATTCAGTAATTTTACATTTTAATTATCTTTCCTTCATAAATAGAAATTGTCCCAATAAATGTAGACAAAAGCGAACCCTAAAGTCAGATACAGAAAGCAATTCTGTTGAAAATAATTATTATTGAAATCAATAGAGTAAAAGAAAGATAATTTTACACCCCATGTTGTGTACAGGTGCACAATGCTTCTTCCGATAACCAGGCGTCAGATTCTACAAAAAAGAACAGAAAAATGAAACGTTACAGTAGGCAAAAGTCTTACACAAAAGTGCCTGGCAAATACTTTGAAAGTATAGAGTGCGGTTGCTCAAAATAATGTAGAACTCTTTTTAGAGAAACAGACCAGATTTTTTGGCATATTTTATGCATGCAGGACGAACAAAATGTATTTTTCTTAAATGCTGTTCAATGATGTAATATAAACAAGACGTCAAGGAAACTATTAAGGAACGCCAAAAAATTAGTATACATTTATACAAATATAATTTATCGGTTCCGACTGGGCTGGCAAAATTTGGGCTTGAAGAAACTTTTTCGTGGATATTTTTAAAGTCTAAAAATATTGACCCGAAGACTTCAGATGAGAATCATCAAGCGAACAATTAAATGATAAAATAATCATCGTTATTCTGTAGTTCGGTGTCTTTTTTTTTCGAAAAGGTGTATGAATGTTCAGTTTGCTAGCGACAGTGGACGAAATCGATCGATAATCGCATTCTTAGATGGAAAATATAGAATCATTGTGGCCCTAATAGCAAGTGCGGTAGGTTGTGAAAATGTGCTGAACTTGAGGATTAATGGAGGATGGGGCGCCAGCTTGCAAAAGCTGGTAAGAATGAACTCTAATCTATAAATCTTTTAACTTGAACTGAGTTTAGTTTTCCGACCAGCAACTGAACTGTTATGGATTCTTCATATTTCTCTATCTTTGGATTGCTGATTTCAAATAATTTTGGTTTTTCCTGCTGTACTAATCATTATTTCTTTCCAGGTGACACTACGCAGCTTTCGGTAAGTTTAGCATTATTTTGCCTCTGGTTGCCATGTACATGTAGAACTTTTAGTCCCAATATTCATCATCTGACTCGTAGGGTAATATTGGTATCGATTGAGCCATTGGTTCTTTCGTAGTTCATTTTTAAACTTTGGGAATATTTTGGTCCGTTTTGCATTTTTACATCAAGCTCATCTAAAGCTTGTCTCCAAAGAACCGCTCAGATATGCCAATATGAGTTCCAGTTTTATGTTTTTTGCTAAAAATGCTAAAAAATAGTCCAGAGTTTTAGTTTTCGAAACTTGACTTTGACTAAGAATGGGTGTTTGGGGCTGAAAGCGACCAAATTCCAGTGCTTGATTACATGGTGCCTTTTCCAGTCAAATCAATTAAACAGTGAATGAAAGGTCAATGTTTATGTGACGCATTGCCAACAAATAACACAGTTTATTTTCGTTCCGATGTTTGCTTGCTGGCCAATTAGAGTACATTATTATGGTAATGTAATTATCGAAAGCCATAACAATGTACGCTATCTCCCAGATAGTTATATAATTTCCTTCATCATCAGGAATCAATCTGGTTGCATTTGGTGAAAATATACTGTTGATATAAAGAGCACATTAATTTGTAAAATTTACTTATAGTGTCTTTATTCATTTTTTTGTTCGGTCATTGCGCGTGGAATTGCCCAATAAAAGTACTCAAAAACCCCATTTGTATTAATCTAATAACTTTAAGCCTCTGCTGGGCTTTGCCAATTAGATCTGGCCTTGGTTAACTGCCTCGATTTGGATTAATGAACTACTCTAATCCGCCTCATGACTAAATTAATGCGTGCAATCTGCACCTACGTCAAAAAAAGATGCCTAAGCAGCCACAATCAGCTGTGAAACCCCGTTTCAATGCACTCATCCAGGCCATATTGAGCTGCTACTCACCTGCAGGTTCATGTTGAAAGATTAAATCCGGGAAAAGGGCGACATTTGATTGCAACACGCGGATTACAGGGCAAAACAGTGGCAGCCAACCTGACGTCGCGACGCCGGCGTCGCCATTCCAGACCGGGCACATGGTCTGGATCGTTACTTCCTAAACCTGGAGCGCCCCCTACTTGCTGTGCAATCCAGTTTGCCTTTAGCAGGGTTTAGTTTCCTGGAAATTTCGCCAAAATATCCAGGAGCGATCATGACATTATACACAAAACCAGTTCTCCGAAGGCTCTTTAATTTCACCCCTGCCCTTCAAAGAGACTTTTTCCTTCTTATTCTTCTGATTTTATGCACTAATTTACATCGCATTTTGAATATCTCTACTTCTTTTACTTGGCACTTTTCTATTCCTTTGGATTTCATCCAAAACTGCCACGAAGCATAGAGTTTGATGCTGTTTGGTCGATGTCTGGTTTAGCTGGGGTGTCGACTAACTGATTTTTCAGTCCGGACGAGGAAATACTGTTCCGTACAGTTACTTAAACTGGTTCAGGTACAGTTTTTCCAGGAAATCAAAATATTGTCCAACTCTCTTTGTTCAACTTTTTTATTCCAGGTGGACGCAGGGATAAACGTGGATGATTTCCTTAAGGGAGTTCGATAAGGCTATCGTATCGTATATACTTTCCTGACTGTGTTTCAATTCAAAATCAAATCTATTCCTGGGTTTCAGCCATTTATTGTCTCTATTTATTAATCAAAATACGTTTCGGTGTATTTTTCCACCATCATCAGTTTTTCTAAAATAACAGATAGTTAAAA